ATTTATTACATGATTACCACTTGTCTTACGGTGAAGGAAAACATCGTGAGGAAACCTGCATGTCTGAGAAAACCTAGCAAGTTTTCGAAAGACATGTGAAGTCCACCAACCCGCACTTGGCCAGCGTGGTGGACTATGGCCTAATCCCCCTCGTACTGAGGAGGCCCGTGCCCAGCAGTGGGACGTTAAAAAGGGCTGAATACAACTTTTAATATTTAAATATATACTTTTCTAATTTTTAATACTTAAAATTAAAAAAAAATCCATACAGGTTTGATTTAAATATACTAAGAAGCACTTTTATAATTTCAGAATATTTCTGATTATTCTCTATTATGATTTCGCGATTAAGATCAATAAATAAAAAACACCACTCTTATTAATAAATTTCTATACCCAGTAGTATGAAAGTTCGACAGAAAGACCAAAAGCACAACAAGTATTTTAGGTTTATGTCTGATGTATATTATGTTTACTGACTGAAATATGATAAATATTAATTTCCGGTATCAAAAGTATTGTTGTTTTATTGCATAATACAAGGTCATCTATAAGACCAGGTACAGGTGCGACGACCCTTGCTGGAGCGATGACCGCTCCCTTCTAAAGATCATTTGCGTTAAATGATCCGTGCAGACGAAACGCAATGAAATAGACGCAATCTTTTCTTATAATAAAAGGCTGTTGTAATTCGTCGGACTGTAGTTGGTTTAATATTAATAAAGCGACTTTTACTGTGTTCTAATAAAAAACCAACCCCATTTTTTTGGTTTTAATTATTTTTAGATGTAGTTTCTACGCGCAATTATAAAAGAACTAAAAGTTGTTTTTTATTTGACTTCTTTTTCTATTAAGATATAAAGATTCTTGGGTGCGAGGTGTTGTAGAAAAAATCTTTAGCCTACCGAGCTAAAAAAATTTTTGTAGGAGTGAGTGTTTCTTAATACAAAACAAAACTTAATTATTGAAATATTGATACCTTAAAAAAATTATAACCCGATAGATTAGGGTGATAGTGTACACTGTACAGTCACGGTGATAGTATCAAGACAGAAGCTTTTCAATATCATAAATAACTCAACACAGGATTATAGCAATACGCAAACAATCAAACACACGTAAATATTTATATTATATACATAATGCTGTGTTAAAATTAAAACATAAACATAAAGAACTAGATCACTAACAATCCTCATTAAAGAGGAATTATAACTACCAACTATAGAAGTACAGTTATGCATCATTGCTATTTACCGAATAAAATGATTGTTTAAATAATTTTATATTATGCGTAGCGAATGCTTTAATGCTTATATCTCACCGCAGTCACGATAATAAAGTATTAATTTATTACTGCAATTATGTACGTATCTAAATATATAATATATTAATCTATACTAATATTATAAAGAGGTAAAGCTTGTGAGTTTGTGACGTTGTAGGGGGTAATCTCTGGATCTACTGAGCCGATTTAGATGAAATTTGGTAAGAATATAGTTTGCAACCCTGGAAAGGACATAGGACACTTTTTTCCGGAAATCATCCCTTAAGGGGGTGAAAATAGGGATAAAAGTTTGTATGGGGAATCAAGCCAGGGACGAATCCGAGAACATTTTATTGCACACCAGACAAGAAATAAATAAAGCAGTGAAATAAATAACAAAAAAAGAATTGAGTACAAGTATTTGTTAAGACAAGGCGCGGCGCCCAATAAGCAGTATGAAAATATATCATTAGAAATTACTTGTAAAGGGGAAAAAACAAGAAAATGTATAAAAAAATGACGTGTCGAAATTGGTTTTTCAGTGATTTCAAAAGCGGTCCTTTTTATTTTAAGTCACTTAAAATAATAAAATTATGTACACAAATAAACTATCGCCTTACAGTTTCAAACGAGCAAAGCTGACAATAAGGCAAATTGCAATTTTTGAAAAATATTGGTGTATGTATATTTTAATATATGAAATACTTGAAACGTGGCCTGTGCGATCGCTCGCGTGTAGTAAAAAATATTTGGGTTTGATAGTAATGTTCAGGACATCTATCTATATAAAAGCGGTGATTTTATAATGAGAGACTCCAATTTCCGTTGTAAATATAGATTTTTCTATATTATTTCTTATAATACTTAAATACCTATACTTAGCACTGCAACAGTCTTGTATGTACATTAATAGCCTGTTAGTGTTTCGGCCGTACAGCATTTTTATATAGTATAGTAATTAAAAGGAGATTTAAGGCTGAATTTATTTGATTCAGTAAACGCAAAGATTATGATCTCCTCGTTCTTTGTACTTCTATCGAAGCGGGCATCGTTATTAAGGATCAAAAATATTAAATACCTACCTATTTAAATACTTACATGCGCTAAATAGAAATATGCATCCGCAATTCATTGGCTAGTATGCAAGAAAAAGTTTTTTTTTAATGTAACTGAGCATTTTACAGCAGAGCTGTGTTTAAAAAAATAATTTTGAGAATATTAAGAAACATTATTAACCATTCATCTCTTATATTTAACTCTACCGCTATCGTAGAGAAATTAAATGGACTTAATTGAGAATATTATAATTATTCTAAAAGTATGAATTAGTTTCATATAAATTTGCCTTTGCCTTATAAATTAACCTCACGTGTAGTGGATATATTTATATGTAGGGATGTACCCACTATTGTAATTCTCTAGCAAAAACTACATTTTTTATTTCATGTTTTCGAAAAAAATCTATACTTTTTGCTTCTATTAATTGGATTGTTAACAAACAGAAAATAACAAGTTACGATCCACACTAATAATAATGGTGATATAACACGAAAAGAATGATTATGTTCCGACAACAATATCGTGGTTTTTACGCTCGTTCATCTCAACATAATATCCGGTTATATTAATAAGAAATATTTAACCACTTAAATATAATTATTAAAGTACAATTTCCTATAGCCGTAAATGTTCTCAATAACTAATCGCTTTATTCATTATTACTTACCATACAATATTCCATTCAACAAATGCATTGTTGCTCTTGGGCTTATTTTTTTTACTGGTACAGCCGGTAGTGTGTGGAACTTGGAAACTCCCCGTTGCTGAGAGGGTAGGGGTAAAAATGAAATAAAAGCTTATAATAAAAATTTCTGCAAGATTTGCCGAGTTATATTGAATTGATTTCGATAAGAGATAACTAAATTTATCTCCTCTACATATAAAAACTTACTCTTGTTTTTGTTGAAAAGAATTTAAATACTATGTTTGAAATCTCTAATCTATACAGACAAATAAAATTGTAGTGTCTGTAATGTCAAAATAACAGCTTTTTACTATATGAAAGTATATACGGTACCAACAAGAAAAAATTTTTTTGTCTGTCTGTTTGTTTGTTCCGGTTAACCTCCGAAACAGCTGGACTGATTTTGACAGGACTTTCACTGGGAGATAGATGATGTTTTAAGTTACTACTTAGGTTACTTTTATTTTAGAAAAAGAATGAGAGTTCCGCGAAAAAGACCCACCAAAAACCCATGAATTGAACACCCGACATACCTGAGCGAAGCGAGGGCAAGTCGCTAGTTGTAAATAAAAATGCATGTAATATATTATACGTTCATTAACATCTATTACTATTGTTAATTCACATCTTGCATTGGGCTGTAGCTCATATTGTTTATGCAATAAAGGCTTCATACTGATATGTTAGCAAAATAATTAAAGCGTATGTCATTTATAATACGATTGCGGTTAGCCACTACGCCTGTTGCAATTATTTATATCTAATTCAGAGAATGAATAAAAGGTGACTTCAGATTGTTTAGTAATTATGTTATTTAATAACGATTATATCATAAAACTGAATTCCACTATAAAAGCAAACATTTACAGAGAATAAGTACATTGATCTCTTTTGCAACGGCAGGTAGATGTTCGTGTAGGTGTATGAGAAGACATTTGACTTATTTACGAGTATTTGTATTGTAACAATAATTCAGTATATCATGTCCCACTGTACGGGTCTCACTACAATGCGATGCCACTGAACTGCGATAAAAAAACACAAAATTTCTAGCTGTATTATATATTATATTAGTGTATTGTATATCTATACATATAATAAAATTCTAACTAAGCCGAATCTGTACATTAAATATTTTTCGGAAAATCTTATTGAAATAGACTTTATTATCGATACAGAGGTCGAATCTATAGTTTTTAGAATTTTTATCTATCTGTCTGTTACAGCATCACGAGAAAACTACTGGACAGATTTTGATGAAATTTAGTATAGTGATAGCTGGTTATCCGGGTCTACATATAAGATACTTTTTACCGCGGGAAAATGTGTCATTTCTGAAAAAAAAATACAAAAGTCATCTGAACGCGGGCGGAGCCGAGGGCAATGCTAGTATTGTATAAATGTAGTTGTGTTTACGTTAAGTGTAGGGTATTTCCGTTGCTTTTTTATATATGCAACAATCAAACAAAGAAGGAGCAATTATAATTGTATATTTTAACATTATATTATGTATATATTATAATAATATTTTGTACAAAAATCTCTATTTATTACTTTAAATTCATAACATATCTTAGATAATAACTAACTTTTATACTCGATATATAATAAAGTATATATGTATGTGTAAGTTATAAAAATAATACATTATTCATTTCAACCTAACACATATTGACCTTTCAGAACAAAAATTGTATAGTTTTAATTTTTTACCATATCCAATTAAAGCGATAATTTTGTTCTATGTAAGATGAATATGCAGTACCCAACATATCTTTAGCATCCTCTGTCATTACATTTAAATGAACGTTCGTTACAATTGAGGCATACACACATAATTATTGGCAGTTAGCTCTCTCATATATGATTATTTGGTTTTGACTAAACCAATTCATAGAGTCAAACACTCAATATGAATAACTAATTTAGTTTGCAGCTTATTTTCGCAAGATAAGATATTCATTAAGATTTTCATTTATGAATCTCTTAACGTTTTTTGTACCTGAAAACAAGAAAAAATCCGTTAGTTTTTGTGAACTCAATTATAAAATTATATTGCTGTGTGAATATAAATTTACTAACTACATATTAAGACAATTCAATCGCACAATAAACTACAGATTTTAAGTTAAGTTATTTTTTTATTTCTAAAATCTTTGCGTTATAATATTCTAATTTTGCTTGTAAGCCAAAGAGAACGTTAATACGAATATATATATACGGTAACATTTTCCTTACCTAGGAAAATTCATATGTTATTTTAATTTTTAATAAATCTTACCCGTAAGAACTGCTATGAGCACTCGCAGTAGCCGTCGCTGTGGCCGTCGCAGTGCCGCCGCCATTACCACCGTAGTTACCACCGCAGCCACCTCCACAACCACCATGACTTGGTTGTACGTGACCGCCATATGAGGGGGATCCTCCTCCATAGTTTCCACCACCTCCGCCTCCTCCTCCGTAACCAAATCCACCTCCGAAACCTGCGCCATAGCCTCCGCCGCCTCCACCTCCTCCTCCACCGCCTCCTCCTCCTCCACCACCACCGCCATATCCTCCGCCATATCCTCCGCCATAGCCGCTGTTTTGCGAGGGATATCCACCGCCGTAGTTACCACCTCCGTAATTGCCACCTCCGTAATTACCGCCTCCATGATGACCTGAAAATATATTAATTGATATATTTTTGATGGATTTAGATTTAGTAAATTAATGTTTTCAGCGCGACCAGTACTTTAGTCAACGTGATTTAAAAATCCAAATAATTTTTGACTATAATTAAAAAACAACATCAATATTTATCTCTAGTACATAGAGTTAATATAATAAGTATTTACTCGTCGTCACTACGACGCTATCTTTCTCATCTTTCATGTCTTTATATTGTTCTATTGATAAATCTTTTGTTTTATGTATAATGTATCTAGTTTCTTTTTCTTCATAGAACCAGTCTCTTCAAATAGATTTTTTTAGATTTTTTGAATAAATGATAATTCAAAAAGTAATATTAATAAAACCTATAACAAAAGATTTAATAACATATGTTTATAATGTTCACCATAAAGTTATCTATCCATACTAATACTATAAATGTGAAAGTGTGTTTGTTTGTTTGTTTGTTTGTTTGTTTGTTTGTTTGTTTTTGTTTCCTTCTTTCACGTCCAAACGGAGTAACGGATTGGCGTGATTTTTTGTGTAGAGATAGTTGGAGGGCTGGAGAGTGACACAGGCTACTTATTATCACGGGAGATTACTTAATTCCCACGGGAAAACACGTTATAATACAATCACAAAAATATTTATTATCAGAATTACTTGAATCTTTGGTATATATACTCTTCAATAAAATTAAAGAAATACGTGTCTTAGCATTTTCCGAAATTCATCCTATAAGAGGGTAAAATAGGGGATGAAAGTTTATATGACACTACCTTTTTAGAGATTTTTTTGTAGTTGTAGCGCGGGCGAAGCCGCGGGTTCTGCTAGCATAATAATAAATAAAAATATGTTTCTTTGTATGTGTGTCCTTTTGCGTGCCTAAATAAACTATTCATCCTTAAGGATGTACTCAAGCGAAGTGAGGGTAAGTCGCTAGTTTGTAATAAATATGATGTATAAACGATATTTGCATTTAACAGCTAAATGTTCTAGTATCTTCTATTTCGCATTTTTTTTTGTTACCGATGAAACGTACTTATATAAAAAAGATGTTATTTACAAATATATTGTCTAAACTCTACCACTTACAAATATATTGTCTAAACCAGTCTCGTGGTGTTGTTATTAAATGTGTAAAAACCAGAATTAAAATAATTTTGCTCTTTGCAAAGTGTAAAAAGGCTTTAATACGATATATAATTTAAATACGATTCTGCAAATGGTAATTTTGTTTCGACCTTTAAATATTATGATTAAATCATTTGAAATAGTCATAAATTATTTTTTATATAACTCAAGATTTTTTGTTATTGTTATGGAAATTTAAAATATTATATTTTATTTAAAATACACGAAAGCATGAATATATCCATGGGCTTATAACAGCTTGTGTAAGAATTCTCCGTAGTTTCCGTACTACGAGTACATTATATTTCTTTCGCATTTTGTCGACACGGAATAACATAGTGAGATGCATCTTACTGTTTGTCTGTTTTTTTGTTTGTTCGTTGTAATTTTATGCTGTATGACGATTATTAACTCAATGTTGCGATTAATGAAAAATAAGATTACTATTCTACACAGTAATTAGAATACCTAATTAAAAGAGACATAACAGCGTTTCAAAGTTTGTCTATGCATTTCTATGAAATGTACACAGTATTAATATATAAAATATCTCACCATGCTCCTTTACAACTTTCACTACAATGGTCTTCGTAGGCTCCTGGTATCCACCGTGGCCGCCATACCCGCCATCATATCCGCCACCATGTCCACCACCATAACCTCCACCACCACCGTGGCCGAAACTACTACCTCCGCCAAAGGATATTCCACCTCCGAGTCCTAATAGTTTATGTAGATGGCGCTTTTGTCTGTTCAATTGTGATTTTTCTTGGTCTTCAAGTTTCTATAATTAAAGAATAAGTATATCAAATTGAGGAATCCATCCTTACTAATATTATAAATGTGAAAGTGTGTTTGTTTGTTTATCCTTGTTTCGCGTCAAAACAGAGTGACCGATTGACGTGATTTTTTGTGTGGAGATAGTCGGAGGGCCGGCGAGGGTGAGCCTCTAGTTTTATATAAATGAATATTATAAAGATTTTATGTAATCATGGTAACTATTATTTTTTTAATAATTAATAATTATTTTTTATTAGTTTAATTTATTAAATAAAACATTCATTGTAAAATATTGAGTACTAACAATAATATGTAGTTAAAATAATTGTAATCTTATAGCAATAAATAATATATATGTAGAAATACCAACTTTACTATTATTTACTTTAAAACTCATTTTATTCACCTTTAGAGTGAATTTTCTTCTAGAAAATATATCACCATCGTTAGGGTCGACCCATAAAAACATTAATTGTATAATATCATTAGCGAAAATGTCTAAAAAACTAATTAATTCTTCTTTTTATACAAAGTTGGTCAAAAAATACTTACTTGAACATAAATTGGTTGCCGATCAATTGGCAAGGCTTTAGCTTGCGGCTCAGGTGCTCTAGGTTCATGACGCTGTGTCAGTAATACTAATATAGGAAACTGTCGGGCTCTGTCCGTCACATGAGTCCTTGAGTCCCTCGGAGGGGCTAGAACTGGTGAAACTTGGATAACACGTTCGCCACTCTCAAGCGCGTTATCATTGATTGAGGCGAGGGCGCTTATCGCCAATGTTAGCACACACAGACACTCTACACGGCAGAGTCCCATTGTGATGACTGGCGAAGGATTTGCGCTCTCGACCTATATATAAGCGAGTTTTTCCAGCAGACGCACTCCTACGTCACGGACCGCCTACTTGTCTTCTGAACAGGACACTCGCTTCCCACGATGACGTTATCGGCAAAATACCTAATAGCCGATCATACAAACGTAATGTCAGTGTATCATATTCGTACAAACAATAAAACGTACGAAACGTTAAGTTACCTGAATAACAATTTGTTGACTCTTTCTACGTATAATATTTGGTTATTCCTAAAAACCGCATGCTTAACATTTTTGACAACATGATGTTTTTTTTTATTTTGTATAAGCTCGTTAGGAAAATTCACTTGAGCATATAAATACCATTATATTATGTTGTACTATAATTATGAAGGTTAAGAGGTTGTAGCATTTTCACTGTTCACGTAATAACTATACTATACATACATACTATACATACCTATAATAAAATTGTAACTAAGCCGAATCTGTACATTGAATATTTTTTGGAAAAACTTATTGAAATAAACATTATTATCGGTACAGAGGCCGAATCTATACTTTTTAGAGTTTTGTTTGTCTGTCTGTCTGTCAGTCTGTTACCGCATCACAGAAAAACCACTGGAGGGATTTTGATAAAATTTGGTATGGTGATGGCTGGTTATCCAGGTCAACATATTGGATACTTTTTACCGCGGGAAAATGTTTCAATTCTGAGAAAAAATACAAAAACTGCAATGTAAGAGTATATTAATATGTAAAACATAAGAATTTGGTTTTTGGTCATCTAAACGCTGCTAGTTCTTTAATATTTATTAATTTTGAGATGTAACGTGTAGGGTTGCAAATAGCAATACTCAACACTATGATATTCTAATTGAGTGGGAACAAATATTTATATTATATTCTGATATATGAGCTATATTATTGTAATGTTTCATTAAAATCCATTCAGTAGTTTTTGCGTGAATAAATAAATGAATGAATCTATACATCCACACAAACTTTCGCATTTATAATATGAGTATAATTTGACCATTGGCATGCAAAAATGGGATATAGTTCTAAAAAAATATGAATTACAATATATTGGTTACAAAAAGACGTTTTTATAATGATTAGACTCATATCCTCTATTACAATATATTTCTTAGGTATCGAAATTGATACATAGCTCTATCAATGTTTAATTACACTCACACGATACTACGATTATCTTGTATTGGAACATCATAATACTAGGTAGTAATTTTCAATAAGAAATAAAATCTATGGGGGAAAAAAATTCCCATGACTATAACTAATTACTGGGGTATTTACATTCATATTAGTAAAAAAAAAGAAATAATATTTTTTTAAAACTATGTAATAGTAACAAATATATAACAAAGTAATATGTAGTTTTATATAAAAATCGGTCAAGTGAGTCGAATTCGCACACGAAGGATTCCGTATCATTGTACATGTACTTTTTATGTATATATTTTTTTTTGTTATAGCGGCAATAGAAATACATGCTGTGTGAAAATTTCAACTCTCTACCTATTATGGTTCATGAGATACATCCCTCTGATAGACGGACAGACGGGCTGTTGGCACCCTTCCGGTACGGAATCCTGATAAAAAAATAAGAAGCGTAATCAACATGAAAATTAAAAGGGAAGTGCGTTTATTTTTTATTTTTTAATAGGAAGCTTCTTCGGTTACACATTCTGCGGTTGGTCATACGTGATATCAGATTTTTGTTGTGCTACATGATACTTGCAACATGGTGACCAACAAGTGACAGTTGGTTTTAAGTCCAGGAAGTTTATATAAAAAAAATTAAAAAGATGATTTATTATACACAAACTGTTTATGACAAAAGAGTCCGATTTTTAGAGAGAGGAAAACAGATTAAAGTCGTTCTAAAATGACCACTTAAATAGTACGTAAAGTCTACTGCTTTTGACGACATGAGAATACTCTCTGCACGGGTTAGTTATTTACTACTAAAAAGAGGTAAAGATTGTATGTAGGAGTTAATCTCTGAAACTACTGATCTTATTTATAGAAAGTTATATTATCGTCGAGTGCTATAGCGTATAAGCTATTTTCAACTGATTTCTTTAAAAGGAAGAAATTCTCAATTCAGCTGTATTATCAGTGCTAGATTTACACTAGGGACACTCGGGGCTAGTGCCCAGGGCGGCAAATTTTTAGGCCAAAATTCGGAGGGCGGGAAAAAATTCTTCGCGTTATCGAAAATGCTTCTTTTATGTTCCAAATAATGAGAAATAAAAAAATTTATCTAGTAGGTACATTTTTCGAAAAATTAATAATGTAAAAAATTTAAACTTTCAACATTTTGTTCCAAATTTCGATAATAGGGCGGCATTTTTAAAGTGCCCAGGGGCGGCGCTAAGGTTAAATCCGGCACTGTGTATTCTTTTTTATATGTATTTAGATAAATATGTGTTTACGGTCAGAAATCATAAATAACTCGCTGTCGAATTGCTTTGTAAACGCGCTGTCTAAACGGTTTGAACTAAAGCCGTAAAATATATCGCAAAAACATACCCAGGGAGGCACCCAAACACAGATATGTTAAAAAAAAGCTATATCTTATGCGTTGTATATATATATTTATTACAAATATATTAATAATTTCGTTTATTTAGACTAAGATAAAAATGTTGTATCGCAGATTTCATCGATATTGGTGGTGATAGTTAAGTTTAGCCTGAATATCCAGTTTTGTAGCTTGTATCTAAAAAGATGAAAATATTTGATAATTGCTAAATACAGATAATAATTAATATAATAATCTTTAACTACGATAACTACAATAGCAGTCAGCCAGGTATATGGCTAGCATATTTTCCTACAACATAAGAAGCGTGTTTTCTTATAAATAAATAAAAACTGAAGGTTATAGTCTCAAATATTGGCATAAACATTTATTCCGAAATCGATCAATTAAAATGTTGCGTTTAGTGTCTTACTACGTCTGTCAATACTTAACATTGTAAGAAAATATGCCTCTACGTAAATATAGCCTATAGATATGTATGTATATCCATACTTCCATATTTAATATTATAAATCTGAAAGTATGTGTTTGTTTGTTTTTTTATTCTTCTTTAACGTGATTGGCGTGATCTTTTGTGTGAAGATAGTTGGAGGGCTGAAGAGTGACAAAGGCTACTTTTTATCGCGTTATATTACTTAATTCCTACGGGAAAACACGTTATAATACAATCCAAAAAAATGTTTATTATCACAATTAATTGAAACTTGGTGTATAATATGCTTTTCATCAAAATTAAATAAATTATACGAGGCTTAACATTTTTCAAAATCCATCCTATAAAAGGTGTAAAATAGTGAATGAAAGTTTGTATCCTTTTTAGAGATTTTTTTGTAGTTTTAGCGCGAGTGAAGCCGCGGGTTCTGCTAGTATATTATATAGGCTTTCATTTTTTATAAATAGAAAATAATACCATGTCGCCACGTCTTAGCTAAGCGTACTCATAAAATTTAAAACATAATTAAAGCGTAATCAGATATTGTATTGTTTACCTGGGTTCTTTAATACAATCATTGTTCCTCCGCTTTGGTTATTTACATCATAAGGATTGTATCGAGAATAGGGATTGCTGTTATAAGGATATTTATTTCCTAAAAAGAATAATATTATACCTATTATACAAGGATTTTAAATATATGTATTATTCATCATATTAATTATTTGTAGAAATAAATTGCGTTTCGTTATATTCTACTACCTTTAAACGAGCAATTCTTGTATATTTATTTATTTATTTGCATGTACCGGCGATCTCGGAAACAGCTCTAACGATTTTGCTGAAATTTGGTATGTGGGGGTTTTCGATTTTCCGATTATCCAAAAATCGATCTAGATTAGTCTTATGTCTGGGAACATGCGTATTTTCGAGTTTTCATGCAGTTTTCTTTCGCATTATTCCATATTGCATTCAATATGGTCGCTAATTTAGCAGGTTCTGGTATATGCATCGTGGTCAAGCGGCCAATGCGCAAGATTGACAATCACAGGTTTTTACTTTTGTTTTTTTTTTGTATTTATTCAAGTTTTTAGTTTTTTTAAATCTATATTAGTATATCTAATCTATACCTACTTATATCTATATAAGTTATTAGTTTTTTTTAATTTATAACAAAAAAGAGAAGAAAATAAATAACTTAGAAATATAAATATATACCTTCATTTGGTAGTATTATTATAGTTTGATCTTTTGATTGCACTTTTCCAGGTTTTTGTGAAATTGCTGCAATTAATACACTAAATAATAAATGTTTCATTAATTAAAAAAAATATTTTTAAGTCCATATCAAGAACTTTTACCGATTGTCGAAACGTCTCTTTCTTTGACATGATGAATTTTATTGATAGTGTAGAAATCTTGCTTATCCTAAAATGATAGGGAATTGAGAAAGTTAGATTCTAATTAAAGCTATAGTAAATAAATATTTAAAAATAATATATTTTGTAGGCCATAAGAATGATCATAATACGCTATTACGAATATGCCTGTCATAATTCTTAATAAATAATAAAAAATAAAATAAAGGGGGGCTCTAGAAGAAACATGGTTTCAAGTTTATTTTATTTTAGTTGAATAGAAGTCTGATAATATAATGAAAACCAATTACTGGTGTTCAATTTCCATTCATACTTTATCGAGTTTTATGTTTTATAAAATAAACAAAATATAAGACGTAAAGTCTAATAAGCCTTGGATGACTGAAAATGAAGAATCTGAATATGATGATGAAAGTGATGGGAATCATTTATTAATATAAAATTAATTTACGGTTATCTATACATATAATAAAATTGTAGCTAAACTAAGCCAAATCTGTACATTTAATATTTTTTTGGAAAATCTTGTTGAAATAAACATTATTATCGATACAGAGGCCGAATCTTTTAGGTTTTAGAATTTTTGTCTGTTTGTCTGTCTGTTACCGCATCACAGAAAAACCACTGAAGGGATTTTGATGGCATTTGGTATGATGATAGCTGGTTATCCGGGTCAACATATAGAATACTTTTTACTGCGGGAAAATATCTCATCTCTGAGAATGTACATACATACTAAACGTTAAAACGTAACAAGGTGGGGGTTAGTCGCTAGTAGGTACCTTATAAATAAGTTATTGAACGTACAATAAACAAAGTACTAAATGTTTAAAACCTTGAGCATCAGCCTATTTCCTTCCCGAACATATGATTTGGCAATGTCACATTGCAAAAGCAAGATGATATACGAGTAAAAGATATTATGCAGTAACATTTTAACAATAAAACAAATATATCAACTGTCTTGTATGTTAGTTTAAAATTGCAATTTCAATCCATATATCATCTGCTTTTATAGTGTACTTTAGATTAAATCTGGAGTCATCGTTTATCTTGTAGTTAAGTACTACGAGTCTAATTGAAGTCGTTAACATAGGCATGACTACAAACATAAAAATGATTTTAAAGTTATACTTCTTTTGGAATGCTTGGAAAAAATTATGTGAGTAAAATTTTTACGATGCGCGCGCACATCGACTGAAAAAAGTGACATGATGAAGTTAGCTGCATTTCTTTTACAAACAGATAGTTGTGACATACGGGATGAAATCTTTAGCTATTTTTGTTCTGTTATGTCAAAGAAGTACCTATAACTTCTTACGCGTACATAAGTAAACACACACGTTTTTTTAAATGCTTATTCCACTTTGTCTTCTACTTTATCCTTCTAATTATGATGATACATTAGTGAGAGAAAACTATATGATTTCGGTGGAATGGCTATTTAACAATAAATTCTGCTTTTTCGGCCTAAAACTTGACTTATTTATATCTTGCAGTAGTTTTTCAAATAACAATACTTTTTAGTTTGTAATTTTTAATGCATTTATAACACCTCAATTTTTTTCAAGATCCAAGATGTGATGATTAGGTTTGGAGATTTTACAGACACACAAAAATTCTTAATACTCGTGGACTATATTTTAATATCAAGCTTTGTAAGGGATACACAGGTTTGTCAGAAAACAAAGGCGAATTTGCTTAGCTCAGTTTCCTTTCATGAAACCCAATATCCACAGTTGTAGGTATATTGAGTTATTTTTTATAGAAAAAAAATATGTATGGCGAAGATTTAGAATTTTCCGTTTTAATTTGTTTACGTGTTTATATTAATAAGAAGAGAAGAAAATATTATTTGTGGATGAAAAAAATACAGTCGAATTGAGAACCTCCTCCTTTTTGAAGTCGGTTGAAAATCAACTTTTTTATATTTAGAACAACATAACACTACGTTGACATCATAAGACACGTGATCAACTAAAAAGTTAAAAATATCGATATCTCTAAACAAGACGAGATATCAAAAATATTATTCTTTATATTAATATTATTCTAATTATTATTCTTCATTTTCGTATTCTTTAGGATCTGTTTATACTTTATATAAATGAATTGCTACGAATAGAGTCCTTTTGTTATTACGAATAACTTTGTAAATAAACACCTAATTCAGATATGATATCACTGAATCATATCTGAATTAGGTGTAATCAAAAGTTAGGAAGCTTCAGTAGTGGAATACAGTTGTTTGACAGAGCATTTCACTATAATTTTATTTTCATGAAATGAAAATAAATCTTTCCCGCTTGCAAGTGACGCTTTTTTGATAATAAACTATATATGTATAAAGTAATGTTATGGCTGTACTTGGCCTATATAATGGAGATATCGTCACACTTTGAAATTTGGGTGGACTTATTATTTTTCTTAACAAAACGGTTGAGAGAATGATATTTAACGAATTACACAATTGCCTGAGTATGTAGCTCAAGCTGTCCTAAAAATTATAAGTTTATTTAGAAGTTTGTAGACTCCTTTAGATGTTAACTTGGTATAGTAATTTTAAACTCAGATGACAGAAATTAAAAATCTTGTTTATATATAAAAAATATATATTTTAATTATTACATATTTTAAAATGGTACCTTATTTAAACATGAATTCTTGTACACTGCCAATTAGTTTAACTATATGTACACGATTCTAATTCATTAGTTAAATAAATAAATAAAATAAATATGTTGGGACATTAACACCTGTGTGTTACAGCAACATCTAGTTTCATGGTAAGCTACGAGGCTTGTGTTATGGTTACCAGGTAGTTGATACACTATACATATATAACTTTAAATACAAACATATAATAAATATATACACCCATGACTGGAGTACAAATATTAATGCTCATCACACAAATGAATGCCCTCAGCGGGACTCGAACCCGCGACCGCTGGCACAGGAAGTAGGGTCACTACAAACTGAGCCAAACGTGTCGTCAACGTTGCTTAGCACTTGTCGATACATCGTTAACTAAAATATAATTACAACTTATACTTTTTGTAACTCACTAATATAAGCATTATACTTAATAATAAGAAATTTAATTGTAGTTGGAAAAACTCCTTTTATTAGTTTGATCTTCAAGTCTCTGTAATAAAAACGAATGATATTAATTTAATATGATGACTTCAGGTTTTTAAGCCTTATAATAAAAAAATGTTTTTATTTCAAAATAATTAAGTAGGGGGAAAAAAATCTTTAACATATTAATTTAAATAAAATCATTACGACCGATTTTATTATATTATGTTGATGATTGTTAGCCATTTATTATTAAAAAAATATATAGTAACTTACGAGTGCAAGGACTATACTTAAAATTACTGTAGAACTTACTTCTACATATATGGGCCGAGATTGTTCATTCCGTTCAGAATTGTTAAGTCGAGTCGCATTGTTTGATATCAATCGTAACACGGGAAAATCCTTTGCGGTTTCTACGACTCTAGCTCGTGGATTTTTAATTGGTGCTAACACTGGAGCAGTGAATACCACTTTTTCATCACTAAAACTACTTTGACCATTCACAATGTATAGAGCGAATAAAAAAATAAAGTTTACAAACAATCTCCTTGATAATATCATCGCGATTAAGTGATCTTAAGAGTGTATTGGAGCTTTATTTATAGATTTTTGAAGTATATTAAAATCACGACTTGCCATGTTCTCTTCCTAGTTTACATATATATTAAAGGTATAATTTCATATTCAAATTATCAAGAATGAAAAATATTATGATCTTGCAAAGAGTAACGACTTGCTAGTTTTTATTTTGTTGTACTAGCCACTCGCCCGGGCTTGTCTTGATATAAAGTGACACAGACATACATACATAGATATTTACATATTAATGTACATATATACCTAAAATACTTACTCGTTTTATACAAAGTAGTAGGTAAATCTAAAATATCGTTTACAATATTAAGTCTGCTATGTAAAAAAAGTTCCCGAGCCCAAAGATTCATGGCAATCAAATGAATTGGACACGCATATATTGGAGAAGGATATGGGTATTTTTATCTCTGTCAATTATATGGTTCTTAAATAGTAACTAATTGGGCTTGCACGCAGAAATCGGGTTTTATTATTCACTAAATGAGAATTATCGCATTTAAATCTCTGAAATAAACTGTTTTCTTACAATATAATATTATTGAATGTCTAAAGTAATTTAAATAAAAATTTATTATAGGTTATTATCAAAATAATTTTATTTAATTTAAAAAATTTAAATAAAAATAAATATTTTGTATAAAATTACACAATTTTATGATTTAAAACATAAAATATGAACAGACGAGAAAAGATAAAATTATAAAATAGAATGTGATAATACAAATATGTATATACTAATATAATTAGTATCACATATTGGATCGCGAGCTGTAAAAAGATATATTGCAAATTAAAGCCACAGCTTATGTATCCATTCCATTTTAACGTGCCTCAGCTGGGCACGGACATCTCCAACAAAAAGGGGATCAGGCCATATTCCACTACGCTGGCCAAGTGTGACTTTACTCTTTCGAAAACTTGCTAGGTTCTCTCATACATGCAGGTTTCCTCTTTAATAACTTAAAAGTAATTAAAATTTCAATAATTATGTTAATTTCCTTATTTTTTTTTTAGAGAACAGCAAATTCATATAACTATAAACATTCCTTATATGAATATATATAATATAGAAGAATATCATCTCATTAAAAAACCTGTCTGTTCTCTAAATTAGCATCGTTAAAGATTCAATTATAAAACACAGAATGAGTCTGTCAAGGTTATCCGTCACGGTGCAATTAAGAACAGTAAGAATAGTTTCGTTTTCCATATAGTTCATTATAAAGATATTAATATTATAAGAAAATAAGTTATATCTCTAACAATAATATAAGATATTATTTGTATTATAAAGCTTATTATATTTATTACTAGTGACTCACTCTCGCTTCGCTCGGGTTCGTCCCTAGATGATTTTTTAAATTGACATATTTTTTTTATTTATAAACCGATTGAAATAAAACGAATACTATGTAAAATGTTAAGTGAAGCTTACCACAATACATTAGTGAAATCGGTTAAATCGTTTCTGAGATTAGCGCGCACAAATGCGCAGACAAACAAACAAAAATTCTAAAAATCATTGTTTTGGATTCTATTCAATATATAGACATTCAATAATAGTTTTTCTCAAATATTTATATTTCTTTTATGTACAGACATCATCAGTTACACTTTTATTATATGTATAGATATAGCTATAGATATCTACGTAGTACGTATTATTTTTATTCTAGTTAAAACTGTATACTTATTACTGAGTCATTATTATAAACTATGAACTTAGTGTACATCGTACGACATGGCTATAAATAAGTAGGTATCATATGCACTGCAGTAACGCGTGAAAACTGCAGGCTAATGCTAGTTTAATGTTTGTCTATAGTTATATAGTGTACTAGCATTGCCCGCGGCTGCGCCCGCTTTCAGATGACTAAAAACCAAATACTTAGGTTTTACATATTAGTATACTCTTACATTGCAGTTTTTGCATTTTTTCTCAAAAATGAGATATTTTCCCGCGGCAAAAAGAATTCTATATGCTGACCCGGATAACCAGCTATCACCATAAAAAATTTCATCAAAATCCCTCCAGTGGTTTTGCGGTAACAGATAGACAGACAGACAAAAATTCTAAAAACTATAGATTCGGCCTCTGTATCGTTAATAATGTCTATTTCAATAAGATTTCCCAAAAAATATTTAATGTACAGATTCGGCTTAGTTACAATTTTATTATATGTATAGATAATCGAGATGACTGCCTGATTTTTTAGTAATCAGTCTCTTGTTTATGAGATACCTATATATTATCTCTAAAAAAGAAAACCTAACTCATTTTGATGTAAATGACCTTTAAAAGTGGTTTGTCCAGTCGGGGGATTCCTTTATACAATGAATGCAAGAAACAATTTTAATGAATATTAAATTACATATCTACACATTTTCCATCTAAATAACATGTTATTCAACTTTACATGATTTTCCATAAACAATAGATTTCATTTAACAGCGTCATGAGCAAACTCAAACAAAGGATTTTGTTTCTTATAATTATGAACTTTTTCAACTCTTAATATTTAATTAATTAATTAGAGTGCAATAAAAATTTGATTAGGGAAGTTTTCTAATCATACACAATCATGTTTAGCGTAATTTATTGTTCTATATGAGTTATGTTTGTTTACTACGTGCAAACAAACAGGTGTTAAAATTATCAATCTTGGTATAGGAAAGGTAAAGTCAATGACCATCCAACATATGAAGAAAAAAAGGAGGATATCGGGTATCATTTTTATTAGTTTGTTCTTTATAAAGAGTATTTTATATTTAATTTTATAAATTAAGTGAGCATTTATTGTTTTAACTTGTTTTGATAGACTTAAGATCTGGCCTCTACATCAAATGTTTCAAGCGCAATTGTTGGCAAGACTTTTGTCGGTGCGATGGCTCCGAATGCTTCCATTGTTGAGCTTCTTAGTTGAGTTGCTTCATTTTCAGCAATACCCATCTTCGCCAACGCTTCAAATGTGATTGATATAGATGAAGTAGGGCGAACCTCTATAGCGTGATCTATTGCGTCTGTTTCATAGGTCACTTCAACGTTCGACAGTTTTTGTGTCTGTAATGCTATTTTAGTATTTGTTGGTATAATATTGTCTTTATCTGGTATTGTTAAGGGTACAGGTTCAACAGTGGCAGTACAAATAACCGGAACTGCAACAATACGCGAGGGCCTCACATAAAAATCTTTTGTTAAAAGAACTTTTTGCCCTGGCAGTGGAAATATTGTTATAGAAAATGCACAGCACACAAGAATAGATATACACACAAGGATTAATCCAGTTCTTCCCATTTTTACATAAATAACTTAAAAATAAACACATAAACACGGAGCGACTGTTGAAACTTGACTGTCTTGCTTCAACACGGCGTCAATTCTCGTCTCACATATGAGAATAAATTCTTTTACCAATATACAAGTTTGATATACTTTCAGATATTAATTAAAAACGGTAACATTTGATTAATATTTATTTAGTTTGAACAGGAGAAACTTCTAAGAAAGTGGCAATAATTGTACAATAAATATAAGAGGTTAAATTAAATAAGACAAACGAATAGCGTCCTTATATTATACATATTTATGGTGCAATATACATCATAATTATTATTATCGTTACAAGGTTTATTTTAAAATCATGAGGAAAGAAGATTGATCAAGACACTACCTGTTGACTTTATAGATGAAAACTGGTTTTCAAAGGCATATGATATTGACGCGATAATAACATCTGCAAGTAATTGCAAATATTAAAGCGTACATAAAAATAAAATAAATAAAATATGCTTTTCTATTTGAAAGCAGTGAAGTTCATATATTAGTTTAGCTATGCTTGATTTACAGGTCTCGTTATTCTGATACTGTCATGAAAAAATTTCATTTTCAATGGCTACTTGCTAAATCCTTAAGAATCAGAAGAATCTTGATGGTTAAGAAACCCGCACACACTCTCACACCTCGCAAAAGACGTGTAAAGTCCGCCAACTCGTGCCATGCATTGAAGTGGATAATGGTGTTGAAACAAGTAACTCTATATATAAAACAAAGTCGCATTTGTTAAAACACTTATAACTCGAGAACTGCTGGACCGATTTTCATGGTTTTTAATTTGTTGGATTTGTCTCTGCCCCGAATAGCAAATAACTTTTAAAACATCGGAAAAAATCGAGAAAAAAATTACATGGCTAATAACTATTTATATCTTTTTAAAACGTACCTTGGGATGAACCCGAGCGAAGCCAGGCAGAGTCGATAGTTATTAACACCTCGCGGTTAAATTCTAAGAAATCACCTGTGGCTCCGCGTGCTTTGAAAGGTTAATAAATTAAACTTGCGTACGTACTACACTAGTATAGTATTATCTGATATATGGTACTACGTAATTATTCTTCATAAATATTAGCTTCTTTAAAAAAAATTAAGGTGGTACAACTCCATGTCGTTTTATATAAACTGTTTTCGTTTGAAATTCGTATGATGTTGATATATCCAAATAGGACACACTATATTTGATTAGTACACAACACGATCAGTTAATTTGCATTTTCTGATACATATGCTTAATATTCTAATTTCGCTCCTGTGAAACCAGAAATGATGGACGATAGTGGCCTCGGCGGTGATCTAACTTAAGACCCATTTGTAATCTGGACGCGACATGGAGATTTACGTGAGTCATTGGTAAGTCCAGGATTCTGAATGGATATCGACGTGAAACATTGCATTGTTTAGAGTTTAAATAATCGTGATTGAACATCTTTACAAATTAGATGCAAATGTAGAGTTAATTATAAATATCTTTAGAAACAACATTAGTAGCAATAGGTAGGTATTAGCAAAAAAGTAAAGACACCGGAAAGAAATTATATGTGTAGATACAACTTTTTTACTTAATACTCTTAAATAATTTCATTGATAGCCCTTTCTTATTAAGCTGTTTAAATTTTAAGGTTCCAAAATTTAGTAAGCGTAACCACGATATTTTTGACCTGCCATGTACTAGAACGAAATATGCTCGAAATACCCTTATACTTCGCTCATGTAATGAGTATAATAAAAAATTTACAAGTATAGACATATTTTCAAATTCACTTTTAAGTTTCAAAAATAGTATTAATAACCTATTGTTTAATTGTTGATTTTGTATTTTATGTATTTTAGGTTTTTCCTTATTTATTTTTTTATTATTCATGTTAAGCAGTGTTTCATTTTGTAATTTTTTAGTTATTGTTTAGCTTTTTGTTTTTCTCATTTTCATTATGGTCTGCTTCTTAAGTGTATTGTTTAATTTGTGGAAACTTCATTGGTTTATGTGTCATCTATTATTATTAATTATTTATGTAATATCGTACTGTTTGTTTCCCTAAAATAAATAAATAAATACTATATTTTATAGAATGTAAAGGTTTTTTTCTTAGAATCTAGATTAGATGTAGGCATATACCTACATGTTTGAAAATATGTTATTTAAAGGCACATGTAATATGTTACTAATATGACGTAAGGTTATAGAGCGAAATAAAATATAATTTACGCATGCATAGTATTTATTTTATAGGCAGCAAAAATTTTTTTTTTTTAATTTATAATATTGCTTATCGATACTATGAAAAACGAGGTTAATTTAGCAGCCGAAAGGCATTGGTTACCGTTCCATTAACTATTCAACCTTCAAAAACCATCTTTATCGAAATTATTTTCGTATAGATAATTTTGAAAGCTCTACTATTTCAAAATGTTGAATTCAAGAAATTTAATTAAGTATTGTAAAGATTATTCAGAATGGAACGTTCAGCTTTAGATCGAAGTTTTCATTTTAGATCTTAATAGCGACTCACCCTCGCTTCGCTGGGGTCCGTGAAGAAGAAGAAGAGATATTTTCCCTCAGTAAAAAGTATCCTATGTGTTGACCCGGTTAACCATCTATCATCATACCAAATTTGACAGACAGACATACAAAAATTCTAAAAACTATAGATTCGGACTCTATATTGAGAATAATGTCTATTTCAATAAGATTTTCTAAAAAATATTTAATGTACAGATTCGGCTTAGTTACAATTTTATTATATACATATAGATTTAATTGAAATACTATAGTATAGGAAGGAGAATAAGATGTTATAACCGAATTGAACATGAGAAGGTTTATAAATTGAGTGTGCTTTTTATATATATATTTCAGTCAAAACTCTTTTCTAGTCAAATGTAGTTTTGACTAGAAAGTTGGTCAATATTACTTTTGACTGATATTGACCAATACAAAGACGGTTAGACAAAATTACCTTTAATAAATAAAAAATAGCCTAACCTTACCTAACGTTTAATAATTTTCTTGAAAATATTAGCATAATTCTATGCCGTTTCATTCTTCAATCTACCTTTTCAACTTTTTAAGAGTTAAGCTGCTATTGACCGAGAACTACAGTCAAAACTACTTTTGACTATTTTTTTCAGTCAAAAGTAGTTTTGACCACGAAAGAGTTTTGACGCAACATATATTATAACGTCATAATGTCTCAGAAAACCATTACCTTTAAGTTTATGTTTAAGTTTAACTTCTGAAAAAAAAGTTATAATCGTAATGTATTTGTTTCTTCCGCAAGTGAAAATGTCAACCATGAACCATGTATTAAACTTATGGTAAGAAAAATACTTACACATAATATTATGAAATTAATGTGGCAATTTACGTATATATATGTATATATAGGTCGCTTATTAGAAAAAATATAGCGTAATAACATAATTATTATATGTTAAGTAATAATTAACCTACTAACTTGCATAAGTACTATTATTATAATATATTATTAGCCAACATAGCTTTTCCTTGTAAAGAAATTTTGAAAAAACTAACATATATTTAAATACGTATTAAAAATAATTATCTGATTTACTTAACTTTGACATAAATATTAGCCATATATTAATTTTCATTATTGATTGATACGTAATACGTAAGTATAAAAAAATCGAATGATTTTTTAGTAATGAGCAATTAAACGTCTACCCATTATGCTTGAAATATTTATCAGGCGTAATTTAAGTATAATATAGATTGCCTAAAAATGACATGAAATGATTTTTATTTAATAAATAAGATACGCAGAGTGTTATAGACTAAGTTCCGAAATAAGTTCCTTCTTATGCCATCTACTTACTGGAAGAAAGTGATGCCGTGCCTTACATAATCATACGTGCAATGCTACTCTAACGCTCATCTTGCCTAGCTCCAATATTTTTTATTTCAGGGTGTGCGTGTTTCTTAAATTTCTTTATATAGACAATGATGTGTGAATATAGTTACCAGGAGATTGATAGGGTCTCCCAAAAAATAATTATATTATATATTATACCGCAACGCTGAATAAAGAACTGCTTCTCTTAGAAAACGATTGGTTTAGGTTTTTCAGCCAAGATATCCTAGACACAGGTCTTTCATATATTTTAGCTTGCATGATGAGTCACAGCCATTCATACGTTTGCTTATGATTAATATTATTAATTAGCTAGCGACTCATCCTCGCTTCGCTTAGGTTCGTCCCTAGGGTATGTTTACACGCTTAGTATGGAATAGATTTTTTTCGTCAATTTCTCCGATGCTTAAATAGTTATTCTGCTATTCGGGGCGGAGACAATTTCAACGAACCAAAGATCATAAAAATCGGTCGAGCTGTTCTCGAGTTATAAGTGTTGTAACAAACCCAACTTTGTTTCATTTACATAGATGTTGCAATTTAGATATATTATTGTCAATTAAAAATATAAAGATATTTATACTAGACAATTGCCTTTTAGTTTAAATGATTAGTTACAAAAATAATGGAAGTCTTAATTTTTATATAAATATTAAAAAACAAACACGTTATAACACTTTAAATAGTAGATAATAAAGTGGGCTTAAATTGCTTAAAATACATAAAAATTAGATTTTACTCTTCTTTTTTTAAACAATATAATTTATATTTATATGTATTTTATTTTTCAAAACTATTAATTAACTAAATTAATAATTTATATAAACAGTCTTTCTCTGGAGTAAGAAATTGTCATTTATTAAATAGTTGAAGATTACAATGTTTTTTAAATGGTATTATAAAAAAGCATATTTTCTTTACGATACTTATGGACGTTTCATTTAAATCATTCTTGTAAAAAATTGTAATATGTATACTTAATGTGTGTATATCTTTGTTTAATGCATAATTACACAATTTCTATTTTTTTTTAATTTATTTATGTACCATAAAGTACTTATATGTTATAGAAAATAAAATAACCGAATGTCGACAAAGGATAACTTGTTTCTTTAAGAGATTTATTCCAGAAACCCTTCAGAAGTGAGAAAATAAGTTAATTTAGTGCGGTGTAGGTACAGTACAGCATTAAATGGTATTAACTTAATATTAAAATATGTCAAATAAATATTATAATTACACAAAAATAAATATGTTTATGCACACATACATATAAACCTACATGTATACTTACATATACATACATACATATACTATAATTTAAGTCTGATTTGATAAATAGTGCTGTTTAATTATTATCTATACATATGTAAATTAAAAAAACCGTAATTATTTTAAAAACTTGAATAGTAACATAAACTTATACAATTATAATAACGTATACAAATTATTATATGATTAAAAACGCTTGACATATTTTATTTGAGTAGCTGACCTCGCGTTGAACTCTAACGTTAGAATGCCATGGTGGCTTGGAAATTGTTCCCTAACAAATAATAGTATTTTTTATTATTATTATATTATTATTTATATATACAAAAAAATATTTTTAATAAACGCGTGTATGTATATATATAGTAAAAAGCTGTTATTTCGACATTTCAAACAGACACTTCAATTTAATTTATCTGTATAGATTTGTTTTTGAGTACCTAATGTTGTTACCATCGTATAAATATTGACAAATATTGTCATTAATATTTATACGAACTAACGTCACTCAATTTATTTGCCTTTCCGGAACCTCTCCACTGACACTAAACTATATATAACTTTATAGTATGGTATTAAAGTTCAAATTGACTTTTAAGTATTATTACGAATCTTTTGTATGGGAGTATAGAAAAGTGTTGTTTTTAGACTTTTTCAGGATTTTTTTAAATTTTTCTCTCCGTAAGAACCATCCTCGTACTTCAAGGAATATTCTAAAAAAAGAATTAGCGAAATCGGTTCAGCTGCTCTCGAGATTTGCGCTTAGCAACACATTCAGCGAATCATTTTTATACTATCCATTTTTATATACTGACACACTGTCTGTAACAAATATATGTGTTTGAAACGTCTATAACCTTAGTCTCTTCCAGGACCATGATTGCTGTAAAGCATTCGAAACGTCGGGAACCAAAAATCAAAATAAACCCGCGAAATAATCCGAAAAGATAGTTTTATTTAAAATATTATTATTTACTTTACATACACCATTATTATAATTATTTTATCATCTGTGGATTTTTTCAATTATAATTTTATCGGTTAAATATTCCTATTAGATGCAAAAAATGACTATTTTTCTTGAATTAGTAAGTAAAACACAAAAAATAATTTGATTAAATATTTATTTTAACCTATATTAATAAATAATATCAGTCATACTACTGAGTTGCGTTGAGTATTACATTAAATAAATAAAACTTATTGTTTAAAATTCTCTAAAATCTCTTTATGTAATTTATAAGAAGATATTAAAATTGAGTTTTTACTAAATATTTTTATTTACCGATTCGATAGTAATCTTACTCTGCTACTATTGTAATAAGCAATGGCTGAAAATAATTAAGAAACATTACATAAAATAACATTATCTAGTGTTAAATACAAATTGATTAGTGTTGCTAGCGCCCAGCACTATTCTTTGGATTTTTAACTTATAAAATTAACCTATTTTCATATACCCGACATGGAACTCTGGCAGCATTTAAAACATCAGAAACGCTTCCCAAGTCAACCATAATAAATTGATATTTGTAGTTATAGTACAAATTATCTATACGATTTTAATCGATTTTAATTTTTGTCTACATGGCACTATTTAATTAGAAACTAATAAGGCTAGAAAATCGTCTCCATTTGTGAGGCCTCGAGTTTTGAAGGTAGCAGCTCCAATTCCTTTGCCTTTTCCAATAAAATCAGGGAAAGGAAAGTTTGGTATGCCACGATGTCTGATGTCGAGGAGACCATCACCGAATGAATCCTGAAATAAATAAAAACATATTTTTAATGACTTAGAAAAGTAATAGAAAAAAAATTTAGAGTGATAAATATAATATTAAAATATAAATTTAATTATTTAATACTAGCCACACACCCTCTTTTCGCTCGGGTTCGTCCCTAGGTACGTTTTAACGTTTAGTATAGATTTCTCAGAGATGAGATATTTTCCAGCAAAAGTATCCTTATGTTGACCCGGATAATCAGCTATCATATACCAAATTTCATTAAAATTCAGTGGTTTTTTCGTGATGCGTTCCCAGACAGACAGTCAAAAATTAAAAAAAAACTATGGATTTGGTCTCTTTATCGATGAAAATGACTATTTCAATAAAATATTCTAAAACAAATTTAAGGTACAGATTTCACTCGGTTTGAATTTTATTGTATATATAGAAAAAAAATTAAGGTTCCGCACAGAAAAAATTAAATCTATGAAATTGTGCAGAAAATCCGCTTATTAATAAATTCAATGGTAAAATGACATTAAAGTTGAAAATATTATCGACAATTCATTACTGCGATATAAAGGGCCCATGTGCTAGTCCAGATACAGGGCTTAGGTTTATTCAAATCTATTGAACAGTATTTTGCAGCATATTTAACACAGTAAAATACGCAATTGCTATTTGCTACTAAATAACTTAGTAAATATAAATAAGATTACTATGAACTTGGTTGGTGGTAATTTTAATTTCTTCTTTTTTTATAAATTAGATAATATTTTTTCCTTTAACATACTCTAATTACTAATAAATATAAACAATATATTATTTTAATACTAACTTCTGTCGAATATCCTACATGTATAATTAATATGTTTGTTAAAAATAAGACAATTTTATATTTCCATTTCCATTTGGGTTTGTTTATTAGTATTGATATTAACTTTTGTACAGATTTGGTTTGTTTTTATACTTCGATGACTATACTTAGATGTGTGATTATGTTAATATTTGTTGTGTGTTGGGTAATTGTATTTTTACCCTATTTGTTACACTATTCGAGATTTATATTAAAAAAAATATATAAAAAACTTCCAAATCGGTTCAGGCGTCTTCGAGTAATCGGTGAACATACATAAAAAAAAAGATTCCGACGAATTGAGAACCTCCTTGTTTTTGGAAGTCGGTTAAAAATCTTTTGAAATAAGAAAATTTAATTGAAAAATGACATGTTATAATTCTCTGATGAATATTTTTGTCATTTCAGTAGCATTTTTAAATGACTATTCTTCAACGATTGTAGAATGACATCTACTCTAAGCCTACTAAATAAAAACTTGATCGTTCTGTTTGTCTTGTCTTGGTCAAGGGCTAATGACCGCTTGGTCGACTTGTGAGTTTAATCAGAGTCCATGAGTGTTATTTAAGGGATTAAATTAATAAATCAACTAATTCGGCAATAACATAATAATAATATTACTAAGTAGGTACATTCAACAATAAACCCTGTGATATTATTCCAAAAATATAGACACATTTAACGCCTACAAATGTCACGTTGGCTTCCAAAGTTCCTGCTCGAACAGGATATGAAAGCAAGACCTTAACATTAAGTGATGCGAGTTAAAACGACTACATCAAATTATATTGGCCCAGACAAAAAATGGATGCGAGATAATTTTTTTTTTATTCAACGTTATTTATCGATTTATTGGTCCTCGTAATAAGATAATTTCACAAGTATATTTTTAACAAGTGACCTATTATCATATAAAGACGAAAGTACATACCTATATAAATCACAAAACGTGGGTAATTCATACTAATATTATAAACACGAAAGTAACTCTGTCTGTTTGTCTGTGTCTCTCTTGTTACGTTTACATGCCTAAGCCGCTGAACCAATTTTTATGAAGTTTGGAATCATATAGATATGGGACTTTGGAAAATGGACGTAGGATACTTTATGTCGCAAAAATGATACTTGAAAAAAAGTAAAATAACCGCTAAATGTACCTAGGACGCACCTGAGCGAAGCGAGGCTAAGTCGCTAGTATTCGTATAAATCTATCTGTGTGTGATTCATCAAACCTATATGGTTTTATGTACACATTTACCATCAGTGTATAATTATATCATTAGTATGTTTTTAGTCATTTACTGTGATAAAAAATATATTATTCATATTATCATCAGAGTAAGCAATTATTATAATTATATATTATTGCTGGCTACTGTACATATTATGTATACAGGTTTTATCAAAACTATCATTATTGTTATATTTGCTTCATTTTATTTAGTTGGCTATAATCTCTAGATTTACTGAAAGTATTCTAAATATTATTTTACTAATTGAAAGGTAGACTCTATCGCTGTATCATAAACATTTCTTAACGATATAAACCCAACAAATGCGATAACAAGTATTTTAATATCAAATAACCAAATTAGATACTTACATCAGGTTGGAATGCATTTAAAGAGTTAAAGCCAAATGCAGAAGAAGCACTTTGACTTCCGGTCTGGCTACCAAATACGCTGCCAAGCGCGGACGCAGAAGACGCGGCCCCTGAGACTGATGCGCCCGCTCCACTGAAGGCTGCTGCTTGACTACTGGCTTGGCTACCACTGAAGCCACTGAAAATTGTACATATATTCATTATAGCCATGTTATATCTAAACTTTAAGATAGATATAACATATATTTCAACAACATAACACATACTTCATTAGTGACTGCATATAAATGTTATGATTTTTTAAATAGATTTTTGAAGTAGTTTGTTAATATATATATATATATATATATTAATAATGTTAACTTATTTTAGAGTAGTTTACCTACACTTTACTTTACATACATATAAATAAGGTACGACAGAAAAAAATCTTAAAATTAAATAAATACCAACTAAATAAATATATAATGTGTATATGATGATAATGATGTTCTCCTAGCCGATTCCGACTACGGCGGCCAATCTCATTGTGAATAGCCAACTGCGTAGGAGATATTATAGTGCACAAGTGTACGCGCAGACACAATTAGTGTACTCTCTATTCCTAATACTCTCATACTCTGGTGCGACGACTGCTCGCTCGACACGACCAGTGAGAGTTAAGGCGCAGGACCGACGGCTTTACGTGCTCTGCGAGGCACGGGTTTGAAACACCGCCAACTTCCCAACTCCAACTATACAGAAAGACTCAATAACTAAACTTGGCCCAACCCGGGATTCGAACCCAGGGCCTCTGAGTGCGCAGCCGTACATGCTAGCCACTACACCACCGAGGCAGTTATGTATATATATTATCCAGTATATGTAAGCTTTGTAATAGTTGTTTGTACCTCATTTTTGAAAATGATAATTATGCGACTATATGTAATTACGTAATTATTATGTGGGTAAGATTTATAATAATTATTTAAGCCACCTACTTTCCAAATCCATTAAAGGAAGACGCCTGGCTTGCTGCATGAGAGGCACTAAAACCTTCATTAAAACCGAATGCAAATGATTGAGAGGCTGAATGACTGATTCCAGCACCACTGGCACTACTGCTGACACTCGCGGAGATCCCTCCGTTTCCGGTTGGCTGCACATTAAAACCACCGCCAAATCCAAACCTCGGATTCACTTGATTTGACACACTCTTTCGACGTTCACTCGGAAGTAAGGTACTAGGATCACGCTCCAAATGTTCCAAAACGGGCAGAATTGGTGGTGTGATTATGGGTTCCAACTTTTTCTGTTGCCTCCTTTCATCGGGAAATACGAAACCATTAGCCGGTGCAGGGTTTGTGTAACCCGCAGTGATAGCCAGGCAAAGGCAAGTGCAGATGAACATCATGGTTGAGCTTGTCGTATACTATGTTCGATTGCTGATGTTTGTTGTATTAATAGGGTCGTACGAGGTCACCAGCGGAGTTGGCATGCGGCCCGTGCCACAGCCTTCAGAAAACCCACTGCGCTACGCCTGCTCTGATGTCCTGTCCAATGCAAGTCCCCACTCTACGACGAGAGTATACGTCGTAAACGCTATCCTTATGTAGATAACGGTCTTATTGTTCGTAGTTTAGATGAGCGGAAAAAGTTGAATTCAATGATGTTGGGAAATCCAAGTGTCCTACTTTATAGTCCTAAGTAGTCAAGCCACGTTTACAAACTCACCAATATATCAGATCTAAGTCTTTTATATCGCACCTTCCTATTTGATGTTTTATCACATGGCAGATTTAGCGTGTCTCAGCTAAGGTCTATATGACATAACTAAAAAAATAACGTTTATTTTTATAATTTTGATTCTAAAATGTATAATGAGATATTTATTATAATAAACTAAAGGATGATTAAATATTCGACACGCAGATTTAAATAGGTCGTCCATTAACATTCGAAAGGTAAATGAATATATTTAAAAGGATTTTAAACTCGTTTCTGTGATAACGCAAATGTTAATAATTGCTCATACTAGCTATGCATACGTTAAAGTTTGAAAAAACTTAATAGATTTTTTATCTAACAGATAATAAATTAAGTTCTCGGAGAATTTTACAAAAAACTAGATATTGTCGGCGGTTTTACTCAAAACAATTTATGCAAGCTATTTAATTGTATTATGTGTAAATAAATAAACTGAAATTTTAAATCGGTTTAAAATATCTTATTATTATAAAATTCGTAGTATAAATACATATAAAAACAAAAAAAAATAATTTTGCTTGCTTGTAAAAAATGAATATTGACATGCGAAATATACCTAATAAATGCTTAGCGGGAACTCGCTACAATGCACCAATTATCACCTACACATAATATGTATCTAATAGAGATGTACCAAAACTTATTCAACAATAAACTTTGGTTTTATTATTGCGAAATTCTTCACATAATTTATATGAAATGACTATTTTAAGAAATACGTTGGCTATTTTATGAAGAAAAACTAGTGTCCTACAAGGTATCATAATATGTATAGGTATATAAAAAATATTATGTTTTACAGCAACCATAAGCGACTGGTTTTTGCTGACGACAAAGATATAAAGTAGCCTATATGTTAATCTAGTTATGATATAAGCTATTTCCATTTCAGTTTCACTCAATATCAAGAAGCAGCTACAAACATATATACTCGCTCACAATATTATATTGTATTTATAATATTAGTTAGACACTTTCTTAATAAACTTAATCGAAAAGCAATTTTTTGCAAACTTCACTTAAGTGCATCCTTATAAAATCTAACTGTCTAGAAGGATTCTGGTTCTACGTAACCGGTTTCATCCGTTATAAAAAGCTTTAATCATTTTGCTTCAAATTGTAACAGTACTCTTATTAAAAAGTTCCTACATCTAAATATTGTCTATAATCTCTTCTCAAAGGAATAAGGTATTTCTGTCTACTTCGTCATTTCGTTTTAAATTGCAAATTTACCTCGCATCCGCGTACCAAATTTAGCTTCAATGGGCAACTTATTAAGTAACACCTAAGTTACTACGGAGTGCGAAACAATGACTCACGTTTATTTAAGATACGATACTTTAAAGGAGGCCAAAAGACCTAAAATGATTCGATATTATTGGTACATATTACTTACATTTTGTGTAAGTATTCATATAATTTCATCATAATATATGGTGCAATCAAACTATTTGCTTTACATAATTTCTTAAAACATGTTTTTTTTATATCATTCGTCTTTAAATTCTTGTATATTTTCATTGTATCCGAAATATTTTTCTTCTAAATATCTTTTAAAGGTAGTTAAAACTTTTAAGCAAGCCTTGACAGTTATTTAGTAATTTAATATAAAAACTACGAGTAGATAGCACGGCTGCACTAAAAATATGTCATGACAAAATCCTTACTCCTAAATTTATTATGAAAATCAGACATTATCTCAATTTATATAAGTAAGTGTAATACAAATAATATTACATTTTTGAGTTGTATTTGAAAAAGTTGAATTATTTTACATAGCATTGTGAATTTAGAATCATCTATATAAATAAAAATGAATGTTGGTAAGCGCATAACTCAAGAATGGCTGGACCAATTCGGCAAAAAAATTTTTTGTATGCTCCTTAAGATCCACGGAAGGTTTTAATAAAGAGAAAAAATGAAAAATTAACGAAAAAAAAACTTTATATGGCTAACGCTGGCTAATAACTACATTTATATCTATTTAAAACGTACGTAGCGACAAACCCGAGCAAATAAATATTATTATTATTATTAAAGAGGTAAAGTTTGTGAGTTTGTGACGTTAGGGGGTAATGTCTGGATCTACTGAACCGATTTAGATGAAATTTGTTAAGAAGATAGTTTGAGACCCTGGGAAGGAATTAGGATACTTTTCATCCTGGAAATTATCCCTTAAGGGAGGATGATGGGGATGAAATTTTGTATGGGGAATCAAGCTAGAGACGAACCCGAGCGAAGGGAGGGTGAGTCGCTAGTATTACATAAAAATGCGGAAAAACTTCCAAATAGCCCATTGAAATTGAATTGATCTGAAATTTGGTACACATATGTACATATTTAGACGTGCTGATTACGAATAATTTATTCAAAATACACGCATATTTCATTTTCAATGTCAAATCTGGAAAAAATGTTTTCACACTTTTTCGCGTTTATCACGATTATAAATATTGATTTTGGAGGAAAATATTTAATATAAAAGTTGTATGTAGGCCATGATAAAATTAATATTTTTTGTTCAATAATTTTTTCGTGTAGAGTCAACATTTTATCAGGAAAATGTGATAAATGCAATGGATGTTAAAGTCAAAGCTGAATTACGCTTAGTGATATAGACGGCTTTTAAAGTATTTTTTTTTCTAAAAGTTCTAATCTTTTATGGCGTTTATTGTGAAAACGATTAGAAAGAAAGAAAGGGTTCTTTCGAGTAAGGTTTAGCTCCCGCCTTAGCCTTCTCAACTTTTTTTTTTTTTTTTTTTTTTTTTTTTTTTTTTTTTTTTTTTTTTTTTGCCGGGAAATGCATTTACGCATACCACCTGATCCCCCAGGTGGTGATGTGGGGCTCACCGGCTAGAAGAGCCGGTACTACCCACTAAAACCCGACATTCCCCTCCCCTCCGCCTTAATGGGACGCCACAGGATCGCTTGCGCATAACTACTACGGCGCCCCGGCGGCAGGTTTGCCTAAGCGCTAGGCAGACCACCAAACCAATGGGGCTACTCCACAGTCAACTCTGCTACGCCAGAGAGGTACCCGGAGCAGCCCCATTAAACCTAACCACCGCCCACCGAAGCGGGTGGCATTCCCCTATCCGCCACCTGGGGACGCGCCCGGTAGGAGTTGGCTTCTCCCTTTTTTTTTTTTTTTTTTTTTTTTAAGTCAGGAAACCCTGTTGCCGGGTACCCGCCGCCTGGGGAAGAACGACGGGTTATGTGGGGCTCCTGCCGCGCAAAAGGTGGTAAACGCACGGCAGCCTACCCACTAAAACCTGACTGTGTCCGCCTCATTCGCCTTCAGGTCAGGGCCACGGGAACTAAAGAATCATCCGCGAACCCCGACGGCGATTGCCTTTCGGCACGTCTCAGTGTCGGAGGGCGGGAGCTGCGCCCTCAACGACGACGTCTGGAGTAGCGCGCGGGGGACACCGCGCGCGCCTACTCGGGCCAGGTGATTAGGCGGCAGACTTCCCCAAGTCTACCGCCCTCTGGCTGGTGCTAGGGGGGGAGGCGGCGATCGTGAGCCGCTCTCCGGCGCCCGGTCCTTTTGCGGCGGATAGCGAGATCGGAAGTCGCCTCCCTTTCTCTCTCCGCCGCCTCCTTCCGCGACATCACGTCCTCGCAGAAGGATAGGACGGCAGCCCATGACCTTTCGCTACCGACCATGGAGGAAACCACAGCCGGCAACGTCAAGTCAGCCCCCACAACACTTCGGAGCTCCTCGCGCTCCGATTCCCAGGCCGGGCACTCTTCAAGTACGTGCTGGGCCGACTCGTCAACGCAGCCGTGGCAGTGGTGGCAGCGTGGATCCGGCTCTCTTCCGGCGACGCGGCACAGGTATCCGCCGAAGCACCCGTGCCCCGTGAGGATCTGCGTCAGCCGGAAGGTGAGGACGCCGTGACGTCTCGCCAGCCACTGCCTGAGGACGGGGCGAACTGCGTCAATAGTTCTCCGGCCAGCCGATGCGTGCTCCAACCTTGCGAGCCACTCGTCAATTGCGGCATCCCGCTCTTCGTTCTCGTGCTGTGCTAGGCTGAGGTCCCCGGACGCAAGGCCTCGACGCCGACAATAGGTCGACGCCAAGGAAAGCGCATCCAGGTCCCAGGGTGTTACTCCCGCGAGCACGCACGCCGCATCTGCCGAGATGGTCCGGTAACCCCTTATAGCTCTCGTCGCCATAACTCGCTGCGACTGCCGTAAGACAGCCACATTCTCGCGACAGAGAGCATCTGCCCATACCGGGGCACCGTATAGCGCCATGGACCGCAGGACTCCAAGATACAGGCGTCTGCTGGCGCAATTGGGTCCACTGACGTTCGGCAACAACCTGCCGAGTGCACCCGCCGTCTTCGTCAATTTCGGTGCAAGGGCTTTGAAGTGGGCCCGAAAGTTCCACCGGCCGTCGAGCACGAGTCCCAGGTACTTCATGGTGCTCGACAAACCGATGCGGACTCCGCCGACCGTGATGTGGGTGTCGGGTGGAGGTGCTCTTCTAGGGCCATGGAAACAAATCGCCTCCGATTTCCCGAGAGCAACCTCCAATCCCAACCTCCGTATCCTACTGACTATGTGGGCCACTCCCGCCGTCGCCAGTATCGCCGCCTCTCTGTGGCTCTTCGCCCGCGCCAAGACTAGGGTGTCGTCCGC